ACAGGTCCCAAGTCACTATCACCAGGTCCCACGTCATATCCAACAGGTCCCAAGTCACTACCACCAGGCCCCACGTCTCTACCACCATAACCCAAGTCACTACCACCAGGTCCCAACTCACTACCACCAGGTCCCAAGTCACTACCACCAGGCCCCAAGTCACTACCACCAGGCCCCAAGTCTCTACCACCACAACCCAAGTCACTACCACAATAACCCAAGTCACTACCACCATAACTCAAGTCACTACCACAATAACCCAAGTCACTACCACCATAACTTAAGTTACTACCACAATAACCCAAGTCACTACTACCATAACCCAAGTCACTAAAATCATAACCCAAGTCACTACCACCAAAACCCAAGCCACTACCACAATAACCCAAGTCCCTACCACCATCACCCAAGTCACTACCACCATCACCCAAGTCACTACCACCATAACCCAAGTCACTACCACCATAACCTAAGTCACTACCACGATAACCCAAATCACTACCACCATAACCCAAGTCACTACCACCATAACCCAAGTCACTACCACCATAACCCAAGTCACTACCACCATAACCCAAGTCACTACTATCATAACCCAAGCCACTACCACCATAACCCAAGTCACTACCACCATAACCCAAGTCAGTACAATTATAACCCAAGTCACTACCACAATAACCCAAGTCACTACCACAATAACCCAAGTCACTACCACCATAACCCAAGTCACTGCCACCATACCCCAAGTCACTACCACCATAACTTAACTCACTACCACCATAACCCAAGTCCTTACCACTATCACCTAAGTCACTACCACCATCACCCAAGTCACTACCAACATAACCTAAGTCACTACCACAATAACCCAAGTCACTACCACCATAACCCAAGTCACAACCACCATAACCCAAGACACTACCACCATAACCCAAGTCACTACCACCATAACCCAAGTTACTACCACCATAACTCAAGTCACTAGCACCATAACCCAAGTCACTACCACCATAACCCAAGTCACTACCACCATAACCCAAGTCACTACCACCATAACCCAAGTCACTACCACCATTACCCAAGTCCTTACCACCATCACCTAAGTCACTACCACCATCACCCAAGTCACTACCAACATAACCTAAGTCACTACCACCATAACCCAAGTCACTACCACCATAACCCAAGTCACTACCACCATAACCCAAGACACTACCACCATAACCCAAGTCACTACCACCATAACCCAAGTTACTACCACCATAACCCAAGTCACTAGCACCATAACCCACGTCACTACCACCATAACCCAAGTCACTACCACCTTAACCCAAGTCACTACCACCATAACCCAAGTCACTACCACCACAACTCAAGTCACTACCACCACAATCGAAGTCACTACCACCATAACCCAAGACACTACCACCATAACCCAAGTCACTACCACCATAACGCAAGTCACTACCACCATAATCCAAGTCACTACCACCATAACCTAAGTTACTACCACCATAACCCAAGTCACTACCACCATAACCCTAAGTCACTACCACTATGATCCAAGTCACTATCACCATAACGCAAGTCACTACCACCATAACCCAAGTCACTACCACCATAACCCAAGTCACTACCACCATAACCCAAGTCACTACCACCATAACCCAAGTCATTACCACCACAACTCAAGTCACTACCACTACAACAGAAGTCACTACCACCATAACCCAAGTCACTACCACCATAACCCAAGTCACTACCACCATAACCCAAGTCACTACCACCATAACCCAAGTCACTACCACCATAACCCAAGTCACTACCACCACAACCGAAGTCACTACCACCATAACCCAAGTCACTACCACCATAACCCAAGTCACTACCACCATAACCCAAGTCACTACCACCACAACTCAAGTCACTACCACCACAACCGAAGTCACTACCACCATAACCCAAGACACTACCACCATAACCCAAGTCACTACCACCATAACCCTAAGTCACTACCACCATAACCCTAAGTCACTACCACCATAACCCAAGTCACTACCTCTAGGTCCTTAGTTATTGCCACCAGGTCCCAAATCACTACCTCTAGATCCTTAGTTATTGCCACCAAATCTCACGTCCTTGCCATAAGGTCCCAAGTTTTTTTTTTTTTCTTCTTCTTCTTCTTCTTCTTCTTCTTCTTCTTCTTCTTCTTCTTCTTCTTCTTCTTCTTCTTCTTCTTCTTCTTCTTCTTCTTCTTCTTCTTCTTCTTCTTCTTCTTCTTCTTCTTCTTCTTCTTCTTAAGGTTTATTGTTGCCGATACCAGCCACTTCTATTGTCTCTGTCATTGGCCAACTCTTTGATCTTGGCTTGCCTCGTGGCTTTAAGACCATTCAGTTCCCTTGTGTTCACAGTTTTTGCCTGTCGTGTGACATTCTTTCAATATGCCCCAACCATTTCAGTTATTTATTACGCAGTCACAGTCTGGGACACACTTTATTGTTATTTCAAAGCCCTACTCCGGCAGTTGTCGGAGCCCTAATATAACCTAACGGTTGAACGGGGTTTCTACGACTTACGCCCGTGTGTCACTGGCTGTTTATCGCTCGATTTGCGGCATTAGTGGTGTTGGGAATTCGTCCATTCGTTTTAGTCTATCAGGCCTCGTGATGCCAGTGGTCAGTGGCGATTTTAACACAGTAGGAGTTTCATCGCTGTTTTTGCTTCTCAATTGCCTGCTCTATTTGTTATAATGTTTCGTCTCTGTTAGCTGTGGTCCAGGTTTCAGAACTACATAAGAAAACTTTTAGAAGGCGACTCAGGGACTTAGGACTTCTTTAAGTGTGCAATAGTAATAATAATATTAATTTTGTGTTAAATGAACATAAATAAGTATAATAAAATATATGAAGTGATAAGAAAGAGAGGATGGACTATTCACCTGCAAATTTACTATCCTGTCAGTGGGGCGGGGGGGGGGGGGGGGGAACGAAACAGTCTGAAAATTATTAGGCTGAGGCTCCCACTCCAAAAAAGTGCCTCAGCTCCAAAAAGATAAACATCATATATATATATATATATATATATATATATATATATATATATATATATATATATATATATATATATATATATATATATATATATATATATATATATATATATATATTTATATATATATATGATGTTTAGTATTTGAAATCTAGTTTCAATAATGATAAATATAGGAAAAGTGATTAAAAAAATTATGCGTTTTGGATATGCGATTTGTTCAATATATATGCCATGTTTATTCAAAAAAATAACAAATACATCAAATATGATTTCAAAAATGATAAGTATCTAGCATTAATTTCAACAATCATAACTAGCTGAAACATAGGATAACAATTACAATTGTCTACAATTCCACTCTTAACATTTGTCGTATTTTAAAAAAAAGTTGAATATATTTCAACACCGTTGAAAAAATGGTTCTGTTTTCATATTTGTATCGACGAATCGGTTCTTAATCAGCGTAGCCGCCTTTACTTTCAGACAGTGTCATTTTGTGTTTCCTATTTAAGGCTTATATAGGCCAGAAATTCCCACGTCAGTCTAAATAATGCCATATCCATAGGAATTTGAATTTATTGAGTACCTTCTTCTTCTTTCATTCGCTTGAAATAGATTATTTAAATCTGCAAAAACTGCATCTTATAAAATGAAGAACTTCTTTTGCAATATATTTATGTCATTGAAGGTTAGACAAAGAATTCTAGCTTGCTACAAACATCCAGTTTTAACATATGGCTGTGAGTCCTGGACAATCGGTAGGCAGGCCAAACAATTTCTTGAGGCCTTAGAGATGTGGTTTTACAGAAACATGCTTAGAATACTTTGGACAGTCAAAAAGAGCAACTAAGAGGTTTTCAAAGAGGCACGAGTCCGAAAATAAATTATCACACACATCGATAGAAGACAGTCATAATTTTTCGGAAAATGAGAAGAGGGAAAATGGAACATGTTGTATCCACTGGAAAGATCTGTAGAAGGAGGGATAGAGGAAGACAACAAGAGAAGATTCTCGACAGTCTTGTTGCATGGCAGGGGATGTGTCGGCACACGAACTGATACATGCCGCAGGAGATCCAGATTGTGGACAAGCATGATTGACTACGCCAGTCGCACCTGATGATCATAATATCTGCAATGTTGTCTCTGGTGCGATTTGATGACTACCGAGTCGGTCGGCATGCGCGGCAGGGACAACGACAGGACGGTCATCACAATCTTCAGAGGCCTCAGTTAACACCCCCACCCCTTTTTAAAAGAAAATCAAACATTTTACTTCCCAACAAATGTTCCAATTGAATTGATATTATTTCGGTTCTATTATCAGCGCTTTTCATTTAATAAAACTTGTTGTAATCAATGATTTTGCATTTGGGAAATCAATAACAAAGCTTTGAGCTGTAAGTTAAAGCCCTTTACAGGAGTATTTAATACTCATAGTGTCTGAGATTTATTAAAGGCATTCTTTGTTTATTTTCATAAAAATTAAATGACAAAATATTTCCATTCTCCTTATATTACTAAAAAAAAATTATTATAAAGTTTTCGCAGATTAACTGCTGTAATTTCAAACGGTAGGGGCCTCAGGGCCTTTAGCCGACGGTCTCATGCAGTATAAACTTGGCCCTGCCTGTATGGTCATAGTCACATATGTTCATAAAGTAACGGCGAGGTGGTATGTATGCTTGCGTGTCGGCCTGTGTGTCATAGGTTCTGATCCGCAGTCAGGCACTAGTCTACAACCGACCTGGGAACATAGTCCAGCCCTAAACCGATGTCAGAGAAATGTTATCGAAAATAAATACGACAGGGTTGATACTACACATCACACATTAGGTACTGATTGGCTATACAAATATAGGATAAGCATCATATGTCCAACACACTTCAAGCTATATGGATGGGCTTATAACATTTCTACTTGCTCAAAAGATATTTCTTTCGTGTTACTAACCAGTCTGTTTTTTCACTTTTGATTCTATAGCTTCTTTTACAGCTTGTATCTGTTTCTTTTCCTCGGAAATAGCTTGTTTCTTCTTATAAGAAAACATAGCTTCACATGTGTTAAAGGCATAGGTAGGTACTGAAATCAAATACCCAGCAGCTGCTGCGCCAAGAACGAGAGGAGAGGCCGCTACTGCCAAACCAGTAATAGCAGCACCAGCTGTAATCCCAGAAACAACTGCTAGTCCAGTGGAACGTTTAAAAACATTGGACCAACCAGCTTCTCCCTTCCTTAACTGTTCTATTTTCCTGGCCAGAGTGTGGGTTTTTTCGACATCATCTAGAGCAGATTCAACTGATTTAACTTTCTCCATCAACTTGTTGAGCAAACCAGTTCCTCTATCTTTTTCTCTTATTTCTTTCTTCAGATCATCAACTTTCTGTAGAAATTTGTCCCGATCACTGCCGGACATTGATTTCTTCAGATTAAGTAAATCTTTCGTTAGAAGGCCGAGACGTTCCTGGATTGTTTCATTCAAAAAAGGCAAGTTTTCTTCAACGATTAACTTATCTTGTAAAGCCTTTGCTTTTTTAAAATAAGTACTGGTATATTTGCCGTTAAGTTTTTTCAAACTGTTTGCCATGTGGATTATTTCTCTTCTCTGTTTAAGTTTTTTATCAGGATCCTTTTCTCTGTTGTTGATCAGCAAAAATCTGTCATTGAAGTCGTCATATAACTTCCGGAAAGGCCCTGTCTGTTCCCTGCACCATGTATGAAAATCTTTCCCACCGCATCCTTCATACTCCATGTCTCCTTGGAATGTATCTCCACCAACGACAACAACGATAAGATTATCACAATACTTGTCTCCAAAAATTGACTTCAGAGCATCTAAAGATTTCTGATTTTCAGCTGTAAACTGATCACGTTTTGTGACAACAATAAATGCATCGACGCCCCCATTACACATTCCAATAGCCTTGCCCATATTTTCCACAGCCTTCTCCTTGTCTTCCCCGCTTTTCAGATCTGTGTCCATTAAACCAGGACAGTCCACTACTTTGACAATAAAGTTGTCAAAACGCGTAAACTTGCTAGACACAACCTTCGTTTCTGAAGACGCATTACTTGATTCATTGAACAAGCGTTGATCCAGAATAGTATTTCCTGTGGCGCTCTTTCCCGCCCCCGTTTTTCCCAACATAATCAAACACAGTTCCACCTCTTCTTCCAGTTTGGCCGCCATTTCCTGTAGAAGACATGACAAATTTTGTTTTCTAGTGGTAACAAAAACAGATTTAAAAAAAAAAAAAAGCTTGCCTACTTTTGAGGTACTTATTGAAACATATTTGTGACGTGTGAGGGTAGACAATGAAGTGTCTACATTTGGCTAAAACATCGCTCAACAACATGATACAGTTTCTAACTCAGTGACAGCACAACTTAAAACTACGTATCATCATTATCGTCAGCATCATCACCACCGCCACCACAGCAAACATCATGGTCATTATCATCATCTTCTTTCTTCTTCTTCTTCTTCTTCTTCTTCTTCTTCTTCTTCTTCTTCTTCTTCTTCTTCTTCTTCTTCTTCTTCTTCTTCTTCTTCTTCTTCTTCTTCTTTTTTTTCTTCTTCTGTTTCTTTATCTCCCTTTCCTTCTTCTTCTTCTTCTTCTTCTTCTTCTTCTTCTTCTTCTTCTTCTTCTTCTTCTTCTTCTTCTTCTTCTTCTTCTTCTTCTTCTTCTTCTTCTTCTACTGATTTTTTATCATCATCATCATCATCATCATCATCATCATCATCATCATCATCATCATCATCATCATCTTCTTCTTCTTCTTCTTCTTCTTCTTCTTCTTCTTCTTCTTCTTCTTCTTCTTCTTCTTCTTCTTCTTCTTCTTCTTCTTCTTCTTCTTCTTCTTCTTCTTCTTCTTCTGTTTCTTTATCTCCCTTTTCTTCTTTTCCTTCTTCTTCTTCTTCTTCTTCTTTTTCTTCTTCTTCTTCTTCTTCTTCTTCTTCTTCTTCTTCTTCTTCTTCTTCTTCTTCTTCTTCTTCTTCTTCTTTTCTTCTTCTTCTTCTTCTGCTTCTGCTTCTGCTTCTGCTTCTTCTTCTTCTTCTTCTTATTATTATTATTATTATTATATTATTATTATTATTATTATTATTATTATTATTATTATTATTCTGTTTCTTTATCTCCATTTTCTTCTTCTTCTCCTCCTCATTCTTTTTCTTCTGTAGAAAATTAAAATAGGACTAAACACCTTCTTTTCATATGTTTTCTTTGTTTCGGCGCTCCTGTATTCGAAACCATAGTCACTAAAACGGCAGGAAAGCGATGTATACACTGCGCCAGCTTGACCCCTGAAGCGATGTCTTGGTCCATACAATCGCCGGCCCTGCATCAACAAATGCAGAAAAACACATTAACAATTAAAACACGAAATAAAGATTCAACTTACACCTAAACAGGAATGGGCCTCCACAAGGAGCAGATTTCTCAACGACAGAATTCCGTCTGGAGAATTCAGGAATTACGTGAACGTAATCAGTGCTTTCACTGTTAACTGTGCTGTTTGTGATTTCAGTTTTCGCTGAAGAGATTTCACTGCAGCGCTTCTGAGCCGTCCAGAACACCTTCTCTGCATTTTATACAACAGTTAACGCGGTGACTAGATTCTTTCAAAAGGATACATTATTTTAGGGACCAATGGCGTAGGAAGTTCAGGTTGTACCTATTAAGGAAACTTTCCTGATAGCAGTAACAGAACCCCCCCCACCCCCCCCCCCCCCCCGCCCCCAACCCGGTTACACGCACGAATGCACATATATACACAAATATCAGCAGTCAATGTTTGCCATTTTATCACCCTTTCCCTCTCAATAGTCATAAGATATAGCAAAGTCCTCTTCACACCCCTCTTTTCACAACCCTCTCTTCACACCCCTCTCTTCACACCCCTCTCTTCCCACCCCTCTCTTCACACCCCTCTATTTACACCCCTCTTTTCACACTCCTCTCTTCACACCCCTCTCTTCACACCCCTCTCTTCCCACCCCTCTCTTCCCACCCCTCTCTTTCCACCCCTCTCTTCCCACCCCTCTCTCTTCCCCCCTCCCATCCACCACTGCTGGGGACCAGCAATAATAACCTGTACCATATTTTATATTTTTGTTTTTGTTTATGTTTTGTAGACAAAGAACTCAGTGCGTGGGTTTCAATGCCCCATTGTGGGGCAAACTAGAATAGACCCACTTCCTCCCCAGCAAGCATGTCGTAGGAGTCGACTAATTGAGGGCTTAATTTTTAGTCGGAGTTCATCTCCCTGAGGCAAAAAACCAACAGTCTGCATGCAAGTAAGCAGATCTGCAAAAGGGATGTGCATGCGACACTTAGGTTTTGGAACAAGACGTGCACGAAGAATGTGAACTTTCCGCTGGAGTTTTACAGCCTGTGAACGCGAAGAAGAAGCAGAAGAAGATACACAAAGAACAAACACCATAAATAGATAAAACACAGAACAAAGACTCATTTCACTTCAGCTGAGCCGTGGGAGCCTCAGTACTGTAGCAGCTAGGTGCATGCCTGGAGGTCTTAAGTGTCAGTCGGTGGTGAGGCGTGATCACGCAATATTTTCCTTGTCGTCGCTTCTCTGTTGGGAATATGTGTGCCCAGCTAGCATTATTGTACTTAGTAACTGGTAGCTTTCGCACGTTACAGTTTCTGCATGAGTGAAGTAACCATGTA